ATCTAGATTGTAAGTTTATGGGACAGGGACAGTCTTTTTGTTCATGTTGGTACAGCACCTAGCACAATCAGATTCTGGTCTATTACTAGGGATCCAAAGCTCTCTGGCAATACTAAGTAAATAATGGGACTTTAGGTTAATCTTAATAAAAATAGTCGTTTATGGAGGTAGCCTCAGAGACCTGTGAAGTCACCATATTACACACCAGAGTAGGATGGCTATCTGAATGAGATTACATCTGTGTGCACTATAATAAAAAGAGTAGAGTATTCTGTATCAATCATTGCTTTATTTCTGGTGTTTGCCAGAGTGTGGCAAAATAATTTTCCATAATTTTAAAAATAATAGTGTTTATAACCATCAATTAGAAATATGAAAAAAATTCTATTTTCTTACTACATTTTATTTCTATCAGAGCATTTCTCATATATGTAGGAAAAAGGTTCCAAGCTCACAAAGAGCCCATATTGACTTTACCAATGGACAAATGAAAAATAATTCCCAAGCTAAGCTATGCAATTTTAAGTCATGAAGTCAAACACTTAAGTGCAACCTCTATAAGAAGCTCAAATTTGTAAAAATTTGTGCAAATTCTCCCCAGTAAATTTTAGTTTTAATTCATTAACTAAGGGTTCTTAAAAGAAATACTTTTCAGATTTAAATAATATGACAATCTTCAGCTACTTTATGTATCCTGGGTAGGATTTTCAAAAGTGCTCAGTGTTGATCTAACTCTGATTCTATGGAAGTCAATGACAGTTTCTTGATATATCAAAATTAAAAACCACTTAATCGTCTACTAATCTCTTATTTTCTTTTTAATTCTATTTGATACTTAGATTAGGGCTGAGTGAAACCAAGATAAAGCATTGTATTGCAGTTGATAAGGCCTGCACGGCATGCGGGCTGTCAGACTAGATGTTATACATCGGATTTGACAATACCCAAACACAAGGAGGTCAGTTAAGTGTATAGTAAAAAGTTGCTTTACTGCTGGGGATATATTTATTATTTGTATTACAGAAACACCCAGAGGCTAAACCAGGGCCCAAGATTACTAGGCACTGTACAAACACAGAATGACAGTCCTTACTCCAAACAGCTTACAATCTAAATAGACAAGATAGGGAGGGGGAAAGTATTATCCCCATTTTACAGATGAGAAAATGAGGCACAGAGATTCAGTATCTTAGCTACAAGACCATCCTGCCTCTCAAGGTAGTACTTTTTTCATTTTAAGGAATGTTAGTATATTTTTTTCATTTAACAGTAGCCCTATGTGTATAAGCAGTTCAAAGTGCATCATCATAGGACTGGAAGGGACCTCGAGAGATCATCTAGTCCAGTCCCCTGCACTCATGTCAGGACTAAGTATTATCTAGACTATCCCGGACAGAAGTTTGTCTAACCTGCTCTTAAAAATCTCCAATGATGGAGATTCCACAACCTCCCTAGGCAATTTATTCCAGTGCTTAATCACCCTGACAGTTAGGAAGTTTTTCCTAATGTCCAACCAAAACCTCCCTTGCTGCAATTTGAGCCCATTGCTTCTTGTCCTATCCTCAGCGGTTAAGAACAACAATTTTTCTCCCTCCTCCTTGTAACAACCTTGGTTACGAGGTTACATGGTAACATTAACTACATAGCAATTTCTTCTGCTATATGAAGAGTGTTTTTACTAACAGTGTAAAGGATCCAAAAGCACCATTAAGATATAAATGACATGATACCACCATCAAGTGTTCCATTATACATGAAACAGGATCTAATTTTTTTTTAAAGGTAGATAGATAGATAGATAGCTCTATCTATCTATAGAGTACCACCAAAAAAAAAAAAAAGTCATGAAAAGAATGCATTGTGTCAGTTTTTTTCAAAATTAAATATTTTAGGAAAAATATATGCTAATAGCATTCCCTGACCCTTAGTAATGAGTAGTACTGAATGAATATATTATTCAGGTGGAATTTGGAACAGCCGAGGTAACTACTGCAGACTAAAAACAAACCAGGGATTGTTACAAAGACTGACATTGCTATGTATGGCGCATTAATGGCATGATAAAAAAAATTCAGGACAAGACTGGCTGTACAATATGCATTATCACACAGAACCAATAACTGTTCCCTGGCAGGTGATCAAACCAAAACCAGGAAGGGAATGAACATCTCTGAAAATATTACAGGACTCAAGGGCCTTAGACTGAAAGAGGCTAACTGCCTTTGACTCTGGGCCAAGTAGTATTGTATTCCCTTCTCTCTCCATTTGAAGCTTTGCTTTCACTAAGCAGCAGTTATGAAGGGAACAAGTGCATCTCCATCCTTCTCTCTCCATTCAGTATATTCACATACCTGGTTAACATCCAGAAATCTCCTGTCTCCTGCTACCTGGAGTTTTGCCTTAACGCAAGAAACGCTACACACAAATCTGAGACTAAGCTTTCCCAAAGTTTGCCTTTATCTAGGGTTTTCCTTGAAGGATCCCCTCTGTCTCAGCCCCTAGTTTCCTCTTCAGAGAAAGACTCCGGCCTCACCTGTTCCCTGGTTGATGTTAATTGGAACCAACTTGCTAGTATGATGCAGCAGTAGATATTCTATATCTTCAGAGTTCCAGCATCTGAGTGAATGGTGACTCAACAAAAGTGTTGCATTCTCAGACAGGGTCCTAGGACTTGCCATTTAGGTCCCTGCCACAAGGCATAATTAATCTGATCCTGCCTGAAAAGTAGAATCCTAAAGGGACCCCATGCTAAACACCAAACATTCTCAATAGTTTGCATGTCTGAAGATCAGATGAAACAAGCAACTGGCTTTTGGTTCCTAGTTCATTAGTTCTTCACATGCAATGCCATTTCTGTGCTGACATCTAGCATGTGAAGGCTTTTCTCTCCTGCAGATCTG